AATATTCATTAAATATAATAAATATTAATTAATAAACAAAAAATATAATAATAATTATTCGGGTGTCACATTTTTATGATTTATTTAATTTTGTACGTAAAAAGTACTTTCCAATTATATTTTTACTCTTATAAGTTTGATTTAGTTGATCACGAAGTTCTGCTTCTAATCTTGTGTAAGTTCCTCCTGTTTTGAATAGTATTAATTATTTTAAAAACTACATATTTATTAAAGTGTAATATCTGATAGATATACCGTATAATTGTTTTTTTGTCCGATTATGTTTGTTAGATGATTTTAGTAATGAAGAAGAATCTGCAGACACTCGTTTTGTTAGTAATGCTATCATTTGTAAAGCTGCACTTTCCTCAAAGTCTCTTTGATTATCTTGATTATGTCTTACATTTAAGTTTCCACTCCAAGATCGACCGTTATTTCTAAAATTATTTATTTTCAATGTAAACAACCATGATTAATTTAACTATTTTTAGGTAATAAGCTATTTTTATTTTTTGTGGGTAATATGTATTACCTCCACGCAACTTGATTTCTTAACTTTGTTTTTATTTTATTTTTTGCTTTTAACAAAGACCATGCATAAGATTCTTCACTATGATTCGATTCTTCACCGATACTACTATTTTCACAAGTTGTAATACCATCATCTATGTCACTGTCTGTGATCGATGATGTAATTGATGAAGTATCTGTTGTAACAGAAACTTGTTGTACTCTTTGTGTTGATTTTTGTAAATCATGTATTTGAGATAATCGTCGAAATCCTGATCCACTCCAAATTTTTCCTAAATATTTAAGAAAGTTATTCTTCCTGTTGCATTTTTAAGCATTAGAGAACATTAATTTACCTAGAAGTCCTAGCTTTTGTCGTTGTGGTGCAAGTTCTATTCCAATCCACCACATTATGTCTTTACACAATAATTTTCCTGGTTGAAGAGATAGATCACGAGCTACTAGTCTAGTAATTTTTTCTGGAAAAAATAATTGTGGTGGATCCATACCTATTACTTCCCTATGTACTGTAAAGATGTTTAATATACTTATATCTTTTTGTGACCTAATATTTGGGATATGTTCCTAACAAAGAAAGAAAACAATTAAAAGAAATACAATAAAAAAATTTAATCGATATTGTTTCTATAATTAAAAAAATTATATTCTTAGAAACATTAAAAATTAAAGACTAATACTAACAAATACCTACTCTATACCTACAACCTTCATAATTTGATAGTACTTCAAACTTGTATGCTCGTTGACTGCAGCAAGGATATCTGCCTAAAGGAAATGGTACAGGCCGCTGTTGTTCATTAATAAAAAATTGTGGAGATTCTGTATGATAGCAGCACCAGTTGAACTGATGAATTGGAAAATATATATTACATTGTATACAAAATAAAAAGTGACAATCACCCCATAGTTTCCAATAAACTTTACGCCAAGAACGTAACTCCGTTCGAAGAGTAACAATGTAATCATTTAAAGTCCATGTTAAATCTCTAAATAACAGAGACTTTATTATAATTATAAACTTTGTAACATTAGTTTTGAATATTATAATCACACCTTATGTGTTTACTATGAATGTTTCCATGATTATCAATTTTCATTGCACTTGAAATACATGGTATAAAATTAGAAACTGATTGAATAATATTTTTTCCACATTTGCTACACTTAAATAATGTAGCTAAAGAACTATAGTGCCCTTTTTTATTATCTGGCATGACTTCAGTAAGAGACACAATCAATTTACAAAACAGTTTACTTTGAATTTTATCCTTTTTATCTTTCAATGCTTCAACATCTTCATTTGTAAATAGTTCTACTAATCTGAAATAAATTATTATCTGTAACTAA